CGGCTGCTGGGTACCAGGCCGTCTCCCGGCAGATACCCATCCAGCGGCCGCTGGATGGGTAGGGGTACCCAGCTGGCTCCCGGCAGATACCCATCCGGCGGCCACCGGATCGGTAGGGGTGCCCAGACGGCCCCCGGCAGATACCCATCCGGCGGCAGCCCTGAGAGGGGAACGCGCAAATACCCATCCAGCGGCAAACCTATCTGGCGTTGGATGGGTGTGGGTACCCAGCAGAAAGCTCCCTGCAGATACCCATCCGGCGGCCGCTGCATGGGTAGGGGTACCCAACCATGCAGCTCCCGACATATACCGATCCTATAGGGGTACCCCGCCGGCTCCCGGCAGATACCTCTCCGGCGGCCGCTTGGTGGGTATAGTAGGGGTACCCAACCGGCTCTCGGCGGAGGGGTACCCAGCCGGCTCTCGGCGAAGGGGCTCCCGGCAGATACCCATCCGGCGGCCGCTGGGTGGGTAGGGATACCCAGCCGGCACCCGGCAGATACCCATCCGTCAGCAACCCTGAGAGGGGGGCGCTCAGATACCCATCCGGCGGCGTACTCATGTGGCGCTGGATGGGTAGGGGTACCCAATTAGATCCCAGCAGATACCCATCTGGCGGCCGCTGGATGGGTAAAGGTACCAAGCCGGCTCCCCGCAGATACCCATCCGGCGGCCGCTAGCTGGGTAGGGGTACCCAGCCGGCTCCCGGCAGATACCCATCCAGCGGCAGCCCTGAGGGGAGGGGGGGCGCTCAGATACGCATCCACCGGCATACCCATCCGGCGCTGGCTGGGTAGGGGTACCCAGCCGGCACGGCGGGATACCTATCCGGCGGCAGCACGGGGGGCCGGGCGCTCAGATACCCATCCGGCGGGATACCCATCGGGCGCTGGCTGGGTAGGGGTACCCAGCCGGCACGGCGGAATACCCATCCGGCGGCCGCTGGATGGGTAGGGGTACCCAGCTGGCAGGGCGGGATACCCATCCGGCGGCTGCTGGATGGGTCGGGTACCCAGCCGGCACAGCGGGATACCCATCCGGCGGCCGCTGGATGGGTATCTGGCTGGGTAGGGTGGACGCCAGAGAGGATACCCAGCCGGCGGCGGGAGTACAGTATGGGCCACTTCGTGGTCATCGAGTTCCCAGAACTACATTCCTGGGCATGATTTTGAAAGCCCGGAGCCAACTGTAGGCCACTTCGTGTTCTTCGGGTTCCCAGAACTCCATTCCCGGGCCACATGTTGAATGCTGAGGCAGGCTGATGCTGAGGCTGAGGCAGGCTGAGGCTGAGGCAGGCTGCGGCTGAGGCCGAGGCTGAAGGCAGACTGAGGCTGAGGCTGAAGCAGGCTGAGGCTGAGGCTGAGGCAGGCTGAGGCTGAGGCTGAGGCAGGCTGATGCTGAGGCAGGCTGAGGCTGAGGCTGAGGCTGATGCAGGCTGAGGCTGAGGGCTGAGGCCGAGGCTGAAGGCAGACTGAGGCTGAGGCTGAAGCAGGCTGAGGCTGAGGCTGAGGCAGGCTGAGGCTGAGGCTGAGGCAGGCTGATGCTGAGGCAGGCTGAGGCTGAGGCTGAGGCTGATGCAGGCTGAGGCTGAGGCAGGCTGAGGCTGAGGCGAGGCTGAAGGCAGACTGAGGCTGAGGCTGAAGCAGGCTGAGGCTGAGGCTGAGGCAGGCTGAGGCTGAGGCTGAGGCAGGCTGGCTGAGGCAGGCTGAGGCTGAGGCTGAGGCAGGCTGAGGCTGAGGCAGGCTGAGGCTGAGGCTGAGGCTGAGGCTGAGGCAGGCTGAGGCAGGCTGAGGCAGGCTGATGCTGAGGCAGGCTGAGGCTGAGGCTGAGGCTGATGCAGGCTGAGGCTGAGGCAGCTGAGGCTGAGGCGAGGCTGAAGGCAGACTGAGGCTGAGGCTGAAGCAGGCTGAGGCTGAGGCTGAGGCAGGCTGAGGCTGAGGCTGAGGCAGGCTGATGCTGAGGCAGGCTGAGGCTGAGGCTGAGGCTGATGCAGGCTGAGGCTGAGGCAGGCTGAGGCTGAGGCCGAGGCTGAAGGCAGGCTGAGGCTGAGGCTGAGGCAGGCTGAGGCTGAGGCTGAGGCAGGCTGAGGCTGAGGCTGATGAGGCTGAGGCTAGGCTGAGGCTGAGGCTGAGGCTGATGCAGGCTGAGGCTGCGGCAGGCTGAGGCTGAGGCCGAGGCTGAAGGCAGACTGAGGCTGAGGCTGAAGCAGGCTGAGGCTGAGGCTGAGGCAGGTTGAGGCTGAGGCAGGCTGAGGCTGAGGCTGAGGCTGATGCAGGCTGAGGCTGAGGCAGGCTGAGGCTGAGGCCGAGGCTGAAGGCAGACTGAGGCTGAGACTGAAGCAGGCTGAGGCTGAGGCTGAGGCAGGCTGAGGCTGAGGCAGGCTGAGGCTGAGGCTGAGGCAGGCTGAGGCTGAGGCTGAGGCTGATGAGGCTGAGGCTGAGGCAGGCTGAGGCTGAGGCGAGGCTGAGGCCTGAGGCTGAGGCTGAGGCAGGCTGAGGCTGAGGCTGAGGCAGGCTGAGGCTGAGGCAGGCTGAGGCTGAGGCAGGCTGAGGCTGAGGCTGAGGCTGAAGCAGGCTGAGACTGAGGCTGAGGCTGAGGCAGGCTGATGCTGAGGCAGGCTGAGGCTGAGGCTGAGGCTGATGCAGGCTGAGGCTGAGGCAGATTGAGGCTGAGGCCGAGGCCGACGGCAGACTGAGGCTGAGGCTGAGGCAGGCTGAGGCTGAAGCAGGCTGAGGCTGAGGCAGAGGCAGGCTGAGGCTGAGGCGGTGACTGCGACTGCCGTTGCCACTGCGACTGCCATCGCGAATGCGACTACGACTGCGAGAACAGCAGAATTCTACAACAGGATTCTCATCTGAATCTTAAGGGGAATGGTTGCAGATATGCTCCTACACATCGCTGTTGGGTTGCTTTGCCGGGATAATTTACAAGGGAACCTCAGGGGGGGAACCCGGCCTGGCTGGGATGGTATGATTTGATATTTAGGATGGACGAGTATGCAAAATATATACGAAATCATACTATCCCAGGGGGAACCGATAAGTCCAGGGGGGTAGAGTCTTTTTTTTCTCCTTTCAGAAAGGAGAATCAATCACTTGCTCAACTTGAAGCTGTCCTCTCCACTGCTCGCGCAAACATCCCACCCTCCCACCCGCAACTTGGTTTGCAAAACCTCTGAAGACCGACTACGACGACACCGACGACAACGACGACGACGACGACAACACCGACGACGTCTCCGACGACTTCGACGACGACAACGACGCCGACGCCGACGCCGACGAAGACGACGACGACGCCAACGAAGGCGACGACGAGGGAGGAGGAAGGACGACGACGGCGACAACGACGACGACGACAACAACGACGAGGGAGGAGGGAGGACGACGACGACGCGAACGACGACGAAGGAGGAAGGACGGCGACGCCGACGACGACAACGACGAGGGAGGAGGGAAGACGACGACAACGACGACGACGACGGTGACGAAATAGAACCGACGACGAGACGCCGACGACGGACGACGACGACGACGTGGGAGGAGGAGGACGGACGACCACGGCGACAACGACGACGGAAACGACCACGACGCCAAAGAGGACGATGACGACGAACACGAGAAAAGACAGAGGACGACGTAGGCGACAACGACGATCACGACCGACGCAAGAGCGCGCGCGCACGCGTTTGTTGAAAATCCGTGTTGCGAAACCTTAGGTTTTTGTAAGTTTTTTGGACGCACGATTTTGAAATCCTTCCGAAACCGATGGGTTTTGAAGGTTTTCGGCGTACGCCCGCGACGACGCGCGCGTCTGCACTTCGTCTCATTTTTTGCAGAGGATTCTCGCGACGGCACACGCGCAAGGGCGTTCGACAGATTTCGACATGCGCGCGCGAAGCCCGTTTGGTAGCATTTTGTGAAAATCGTTAAAACCTATGGTTTTCTTAAGATTTCGCAAGAGCTCGCGCGGAAGCTTTTTTAGCAAATCAGTGTTGCGAAACCCTGTGTTTTTGCATGTTGTTGGGAAACTCGATTGCGAAATCCTTCCGGCACCGAAGGTTTTTGAAGGAGTTCGGCATGCGCGCGCGACGACGCGCGCGTGTGCACTTCGTTTCATTTTTTGGAAGGGATTCGTGAAAAAGTGTTACGTTAGAACTAACAATGTCACCGCATAGTGTTTTTTACAAAAGGAACCTCAGGGGGAGGGAACCAGGCCTGGCTGGGATGGTATGATTTCATATTTACCATGGACGAAAGGGCATAATCATATTTGATTTACATACCCGAAAGGGGAACGGATAAGTCCGGGGGGGGGTAGAGTCTATTCTCCTTCTAGAAAGGAGAATCTATGTGGTGGATCCTCTGTTGTGCACTACGGGTGGTACAATATATGTCGTGCAATGTATGTGGAGCAATCTATGTGGTGCAACCCATTAGGTGCAATCTATGTGGTTCAATCCATGTGGTCCAACCTATGCGATGCAATCTATGTTGTGCAATCTAGGGCGGCGACGGGGCGGCGACGGCGGGCTCCTAGCCGCCAGACCGACAGACGGGCCCAGACGACGGGCGGCGACGAGGCGGCGACGGGGCGGCGACAGCGGCCTCATAGCCGCCAGAGCGAAGACACGGCCCAGGCGACGAGCGGTGACGAGGAGGCGACGGGGCGGCGCAGCGGCCACATAGCCGCCAGACCGAAGACACGGCCCAGTCGGCATCGCGCAAAATCACGTCTCGAGCCCTGGACCCCATCTTCCTGCGTCACTTTTCGAGCCGGATCGACCTGTGACGGTTCTGGGGCCCGAAACCCGTCGAACACGCCCGTTGTGAAAAAAACAGCCCGGATCGACCTGTGACGGTTCTGGAAAAACCAGCTCGAAGGCCGTCCGAGCCTTCCGTGCTCTTCCGGGGGCCTCCGCGAGTGAGGCCTCCAGGCAGCTGGCCGAGGCGGCCAGTGCCACGGCGAGGCCGCCGCGGCGGCGGTGGGGGGGGGCCAGCCTGGGGAGGCCAGCTGCGCGTCAGGGACCAGCGCCGCCGGGGGGCGCATGAGGACAACGCCGGGCGGCGCGTCCACCTCGCGGCGACTGCGGCGGCGACCAAGGCGACGGCGGCGGCGACGACGACGCGGTGACGACGGCGGCAATGGCGACGACTGTCGCGGCGGCGGCGGCAAATACTGTGGTGGAGAGAAGACGACGGCGACGGCGTCTCTGGGAGGCGCTAGAGGACGGCGCGATCACCTCTAGGGTCGGGAATCCACCGCGTCATGCGCTGAGGCCTTCGTTCGGAGGGCCTTCCGTGGCATTCGGAGGGTTTCCAAGAGTCCGTGGCCAGCAGCTCCAGGGGAGAGCACGAGGACGGCGCCCGGCGGCGCGTCCAATTCACGCGCGTAGTGAGCTCATGGGCCACCCGTCCCCGCACTGCACGCAGCGCCAACGACCGCGCCGCCTCTTGAGCATAACAACTCTGCTGCCGAGACTGCGGGTCGCGCGAATCGCCTTTGTCTTCGCTCCCTTGCGGCTGGCCCAAGACCTCAGGCCTTATGCTGTGTATGCGACGTGCTTGTGCAACAACATTATGCCGCCACACTGACAGACAGATCGCTGCTGGAGCAATCTTGGGGCCATGATTCGATCCTTGCGCCCTTCCTACAATCGGCCTTGATTGGACAGGACACGCGAGAGGACACAAGGATCTTCCGAGGGCCACATCGCTATAGGTGTGTGAGAAAGTACGTGTCGCGAGGCACAGGGCACAAGGGTACCCTTGAGCTGGCAGGGTCGACCTACTAATCTGGGCCGACTGTACGTGGTTCGTCCATGGACCTGTCCATAGTTCTGTACTAAAGGTGTATGAAATGGACTTGTCCATGGACCACGCACCGCGCGGAGCGCGCAGGGCGCCTGCTTTCGCGTCCTCGCTCGGCCACCACATGGAGAAAATCAATCCTCTTGCGCAAATTGCGAACCCAGACGCACCACGATCAACCCTTTCACCGGGAGTAGCTGTTCAAGGGAACGGTAGAGGAGCCGGCTTAGGAGGGGACAGATCGCGCTGGAATCGCCAATACATCGCCGATAGGCCTTGCGATAGCAAATCTGGACGTTCCTGGGCGCGGTGGGCTACCATCCCACCATCGGCAAGAGGTGGTCGATTGGTGGCCAATGCGCCCCCCCATGAACCGTTCCCCCCCCCTACCGTAGACCCTGAGCTGTTCGTCCCAGATGGAATGTTTTCAATGGCCCCAGGGCCCTGTGCCGTGACACTGCCTCTGGAAAACAAGCTGCCGGAGGCCTTCGTAAGAATTATGGCAGAGTTAAGAGGCTCATTTTAGGGGCCACCGCATCAGGCTGGATTCGTGGATTATGCCAGATTGGGCCGTGTTTCGGCCAAGGATTTGCCAGACCCGCTGCTGAATCTATCCACCCAGGAGCTGCAACCAAGGCCTGATGTCTTGAACTGGCCAAAACTGCAACGCGCGATTATCTTCGTGCTGCCGGTGACCTAGATACGTAACCAGGGCAGCGCGCAGACTGTGAGCGGAGTCATCCACCGACTAACACGCCGATGTACGTTCCCTCCTCACCATCCCAATCTGTGAGAGAACGCGTTTCGTGGAAGCTTCCCTGGGAAAAAAATCCTGGACACGTCGGAACCCAGGGGGGGAGGCCTTAAACATGCGATAGGCTAGGAATCACGCCCCCCCCGCACCGGAACACTGCCCTCTCTAACCGCCCCCCACCACCCCCCCTTCCAAGGGGAGGGGGGGTTCGACCCCCCCCTTGTCGAAGGAAAGGGAAGGTCGCACGTCGGACCAAATCCCAACCAACAGGTACCAATGACAACCGACCTGTTCAATATTTGCCCTGCATTAGAATCGATGGTAACAATTACAACCAGCACCAGCCACCTCGATCCGTCAATCGGATTATATGTGTACAGCATTGGATGATGACCCAGCCATCAAATTCAGATCTTCAGATTACACATTCATTATTGGAGTCAACATGAACGCCCCGTTTGGCAGTTGGGAGCTGTGTTGCCTTACGACACCAACGAGACCAGCAACAACAACGAAACCCGGCTAAACACATCACTTGAAAATAACAACATATATCAAACTCAACACTATATACTCACAACGCATACCCACACACGTTTCACAATAACACATTTCCCAAAAACAGCTACTGGTCATCATCCGTTCCTTCCCTCCTCTTGTCTTGCCTCCCAATTCATGTGTTTTCCTTCGTGTCCGCCTCATCTTCCTCGTTCTGCATTCCTTATGGTCCTCCTCCTCGTCGTCTTCTGTTCCCCCCTCTTCCCCCATTGGAAATGTCCCTCCTCATGTTCTTTTTGATATCCTCAGACTCCTCCTCATCATCGTGTTCCTCTTCCTCATACCCGCAAGCTGGTCCCAGGAGGTCAAGAAGCTTCAGAGCACCCTCAAACAAACCCAATATAGCTGAGCATGTCCCAGGATAGCCTCCAAAAGCCTGTAGCCGACCAGGGTTCAAAATAGCATCCAAGAGGCCTCGAGAAAGCCTCCGATCGTGACTGGAAGGGCTGGTTGGGATACGCGACGCGTCAACCTTTTACACGCTTGTTTGAACGTGCATTCGGTCGGGAAGTGGGGGAGGTGTGTCGGCGGCGACAGAGGGCAGGTCGACTCGTTCGGCCACCCTCTCCCTCTCATTGGTCCTTGGGCTCGGGGACTAACCGAAACTCCGAAAGCAAGAACCGCTCCCATTGGCTTGGGGCCCAGCGAAGTCCCGCGCCCGCGGGAGAGGACGCAGGGGCCGAACGACTCGGCGGCGGCGACGGAACACAAGGCGACTCGTTCGGACACGCTCTCCCCCCCCGCGGTTTCTGGAGTTCCTCGAATCAACGGGGACAAGAAACGCTCCCATTGGAAGCGTCGCCCTCTGGAGTTCGGAAGATCTCGCGCCCGCACGACAGAAAGCAGGGGCCGAACGACTGAGCGGCGGCAGTGGCGGGGGGCAAGAGGACTCGTTCGGCCACGCTCTCCCTCTCATGGTCTCAAAGGGTTCCCCGGACCCCGGGGGCACGAAACGCTTCCACTGGAAACGTTGCCCCCTGGGGAGTTGGGGAATCCGGGGGCCCCCAAAAACCCCGGGGGCACGAAACGTTTCCATTGGAAGCGTCGCCCTCGGGGCCCAGAGAACCCCGCGCCCGCAAGAAAGGAAGCGGGGGCCGATCGACCCGGCGGCGGCAGCGGGGACAAGGCGAATCGTCTGGCCACCCTCTCCCTCCCCACGGGTTCGGGAGCTCCCCGAAACCAGGGGGACACAAAACCCTCAGGAGCAGGAGTCCTGAAGAACCCTCAGGAATCCTTCCTTCAAGAGATCCTTTGGAACAAGTCAGACATCCTTGCAGGAATCAAGAGAAATCCCTGCAGGAATCCACAGGAACCCTGAAGCATCTTTCAGGAACCCTCCGGAATCCTTGAGGAATACCTCAGGAATGCTCAGGTTTCCTCAGGAATCCCCATGAATCCTTTTAGAATCCTTCTGGAATCCAAAGAAATCCTCTGGCTTCTTTCGCGAATCTTCAGATATCCGCAGGGATCCTTCAGAGATCCGTCAGGATACCTGCGCCATCAGTCAGGAACCCTGAGGAACCGCCAGAAATCGTTCAGGAAAACTCAGACATCCTTCAATAACCTTCAGGAAACCTCTGGAACCCTTCAGGAACCCGCAGAAATCATAAAAAAATCCTCACGAATCCGTCAAGAATCCATCGGAAGCAGCAGAAATCCTTTTTAGGAATCCTTCAGGGATCCTCCAGGCAACCGCGGAAATCCTTCAGGATCCACGGGGTTCGGGAGGAATTCATCAAGAACCCTGTGAAATCCTTGAGGCATCGTTTCAAATATCGGCAGGAATCGTTGGGAATCCTTATAGAAGACGGCAGAATTCCTCTGGAATCCTTTTTGTAGAAATCCTTCAGAAATCTTAGAGATCTGTAGAAATCCTTCAGGAATCCTCAGATATCCCTCGGAATCCAACAAGAATCCTGCAGAAATCCTTGGGGTTCCTCCAAGGAGCTTCTGAGGTGCTTCAAGGTAGCCGGTAAGGAGCGTCTAAGGAGCCCTTGTAGGGACCTTCTGAGGATCCTTTTAGGAATGCACAAGGAGCTTCCGAAACGAATGTAGTTGGCACAAATTGGTAACGAAATGTTTGTGATCCGTCCTTGCTGGTTGTGTTGTTCCCCATATTCGGGTTCGACCCCCCCCTCCTTTGAGTAGAAATAATCGCATTCGTGCTCCATCAGGCTCGCATGAAGTCCTACTATACCTGGAGCCAAGTCTCATAGCATCCTAGTGGGGCCTTTGGCCCGATTCAACCCCAAACGGATCCGAATACAACTGGGTCCAGCTCTAATCGAATCCTACCAGGGTTCGACTCAGCTCCTATTGAATCCTAGTATAGCCAGGCCCAACTGTAATAGCATCCTATTCGGGCTCGATCCAAGTAATCCTACGGCGGCTGGATCCAGCCGTAAGTGAATCCGAATAAGGCTCGATCCATCTGAAATGCGATCTTGCTATAGCTAGATCCAGGTCTAATTGAAACTTACTGGGGCTCGATCCAGCTCTCATGGAGTCTTATCAGGTCTCGAACTAGGCTCTCCAAGCATTATACTAAGGCTCGGTGATCGTCGTCGTCGTTGCCCGACGGCGCCAGCGCTGGCGACGGCGCTCGCCGTCGTCGGATGCCGCTCGGGAGGGGATGGAGGGCCGCTTCAATCCACCCCTCGAGGGGGGGGGGTCCCGGATCGACCCCCCTCCCTTGCATTTCAGGGGGGGCGCCCGGGCGCCCCCTTCCCCTGGTTCGAAGCCCCGAGCCCCCCTTCCCAGCGTCCACAGAGCGCGCTCTGTCCAACCTGGGGCGCACGGTGACACACCAATGCTACATGTCCTCCGTGGAGGAGGCGCGCGTCCGACCCGAGCGGTGTGGGCAGACAGCGCCTGCCACGACGCAAATACTGTAAGATTTCTCGGTGCGTGCGCGCGTCGCCCCTGGGGGGGCGACGCACAGAAAGAAAAAAATATGTCGGGGTGACGCCGACAGCCTGTTGGCCGAGCACAGACAAAAGAAGCGCCACCGAGCCGGAGGTGGTCGCGTCCAGCGCGGCTTGGAGCGCCACGGCAGCACCAGCGCCCTCCCGCCACAAAGAAGGCAGATAACAGCAAGCTGCACATTACGGCAAAGCTCTGGACATCCACATACGCCAAGCATCGAATTTCGTATTGTTCGAACTGCTCTTGGTGGGTACCTGGGAGATGGCTATCCGAGAAACGCTCCAGCCCCACGAGCACCGATTACCTATCGCGCCAAAAAGTCCGCTGACAACATGAGCTGATCATGAACTGTGCAAGGCTGAACTGGTCAATCACCGCCAGTGCCCCGTAGTAGGTTGATGCTTACCTAGAATGGCTAGTGCTGTCTGGCAGGGTTTATGCATTCTCAGGCCCTCCCCCCCCCCCGCACCGAACACATCATTACATGCATCTCCCCCCGCTCCCGACGCCTGATGGGTGGCCTGACTCCTCCCAGGCGCCCTCCGAGGATCTCCAAGGCTTCCAAGACGGCCCAAGAGATCTCCCAGATGGCCAGAGAGAGCTGCCAGAGAACCTCCAAAGGGGCAAAATATACCAAAATGATTGGAATCCACATGTGTTCACTGATTTTGGCGTTCTCGCATGTTCGGGCTTCTGGCAGCCAAAGCCGGCTCTAGAGGGTCAATATGGCCTTGAGACGGCTCGAGAGCGTCTCAGAACGGCTCAAGAGGCTTCAAAAACTGCCCTTGGAAGCCTCAAGATGGCGCGATGGTCGCCCCAGACGGCCGCACTGAGCCGCAAAACGGCCGAATGGCGCCGTAAGACAGCCCAAGGAGCCAAAAGAGGCCCTCAAGACGCCGCATATCCAGGAGGCTCCAAGAAGGGAGGCGGGATGTGAGCATGAATGGAAGACGACGGGCACGAGAAACCCCGACAGGACACGAAACAGCGTGTCACAATCCATCACGGCTAAGGAGGCTCACGTCCTCATCCTCCTCCTCCTCATTCCCCTCCCCAACCTCCTCCTCCTCCTCCTCCTCCTCCTCCTCCTCCTACACCTCCTCTGTTGCCTCCTCCTCCTCCTCCCCCTTCTCCTTCTCCAGGGGGCGGCCAGTGTCGCATGTCCTCCTCCTCCTCCTCGTCCTCATCTTCGTTGTCATCCCTCGCCTCTCCTCATTCGCTGTTGTGCGAGTTGATTAAACATCCTTCTCATCACCAGCATGATCAGCATCAGCACAACCACCACCACCACCACCACCACCACCACCACCACCACCATCATCATCATCATCATCATCATCATCATCATCATCATCATCATCATCATCATCATCATCATCATCATCATCATCATCATCATCATCATCATCATCATCATCATCATCATCATCATCATCATCATCATCATCATCATCATCATCATCATCATCATCATCATCATCATCATCATCATCATCATCATCATCATCATCATCATCATCATCATCATCATCATCATCATCATCATCATCATCATCATCATCATCATCATCATCATCATCATCATCATCATCATCATCATCATCATCATCATCATCATCATCATCATCATCATCATCATCATCATCATCATCATCATCATCATCATCATCATCATCATCATCATCATCATCATCATCATCATCATCATCATCATCATCAGCATCATCATCATCATCATCATCATCATCATCATCATCAGCATCATCATCAACATCATCATCATCAGCCGCAGCGGCATCATCAGTAGCCGCAGCGGCATCAGCATCGCCATCATCATCATAATCATCATCATCCTCATCGGCATCATCATAATCATCTCATCATCAGCATGATCAGCAACAGCATCATAATCAACATCAGCATCAGCATCATCATTAGCATCATCATCGTCATCATCAGCATCATCATCATCAGCATCATCATCAACATCAGCAGCATCAAGATCATCATCAGCATCATCATCATCAACACCAACATCAGCATCCTCTTCTTCCTCAGCGCGACAAGTGCCACATGTGACGACCTTTTTCCCAACCACTATGTGGTGCTGGGTCCCCGTTTTGAAGAGACGGCGCCCCGCGTTCTCCTCCCGCCTCTTTCCTGCTCCCCCTCCTCCCTCCTCCCCCTCCTCCTTCCACCCTATGTTTCACCTACCCAGTACAGCGCTTCGTGGCCCCATAGGGAGCTCCTCCGAAGGCTCCAGTGGGACCGCCCGCATGCGTCAACCACCACCCAGCACAGCGTTTCGTGGCCCCATAAGGGGGCTCCACCGAAGGCCCCAGTGGCACCGCCCGCATGCCGCATGTCCCATAGGGAGCTCCTCCGAAGGCTCCAGTGGGACCGCCCGCATGCGTCAACCACCACCCAGCACAGCGCTTCGTGGCCCCATAGGGGGCTCCACCGAAGGCCCCAGTGGCACCGCCCGCATGCCCCATAGGGAGCTCCACCGAAAGTCCCAGTGGGACCGCCCGCATGCGTCAACCACCACCCAGCACAGCGCTTCGTGGCCCCAGAGTGAGCTCCACCGAAGGCTCCAGTGGCACCGCACGCATGCGTCAACGCCACCCAGGACTGCGTTTCGTGGCCCAATATGGAGCTCCACCGAAGGCTCCAGTGGCGGTGTCCACATGCGTCCGCGCCACCGATTTCGGCGCACCCAAATACACCGCTTCGTGGCCCCATAAGGAGCTTCAACAAAACCGGTACCCACAATGCGGTACTCGCAACTGCATATGGTTGGGTCCTTCGTCAGGCTAATTGTCGGTGGTGTTCGATTTATCACCACGCAGAGTATTGCAATTGTACGGTGGCAGGCCCTACCGCAGGCAGCTGGGTATCGAAACTGAAGCTGACGGAAAACCCACATCCAATAGAAATGTGTTTGAACCCACGCACGTCTACAACATCGCCGTGCTACTGGAGTGGCACAACATGCAGGCGTGCAATGAGGCAGACAGTCTTGCTATCTATGAGAACGCAACAGCACAACCAAGCACGACGCTGGTAAAACGAGCGGAGAAAGGTACATGCATGCATCCCTCAGCGCGCGCAACTTGCTCACACTTCCATGCGACACAAACACTTGCAGATGCGATCCAGCCACAACCAGGCAGAAAAGCTCTACAAAAACGACCTGGTTGCATGCCCCCCTGCCCAACCTCACCGCCAAAATAAGCGCGGGATAATGATCCCCTGGCGCACAATCGAAAGTCCTCCGCGTAGGGTCAGGTGGTGTACTCGGACACGAGCGGAACATTCCGAGCCACGCACGCTCACCCAAACAAAACTGTTCCTGCCTGACAGAGGCTAGCCTATGGCGTGCGAAGTATCATCCCACACCCACACCAGCACTCATTGCGTACCGCATGGGCGAACGGCTCTGACCAGCAAATTGACGCCTCAACCAATTCGTCGAACGACGTCGCAAAGTAGTCAGATTCGGACAGACGTGCAGCAGGTTCGTGGCGTCACGACTTGCTGTTGCGACCAGTGTATTGATTCCGAACGCCTCATGGATCGTTGACGTTGAATGGCCGCGGCAATTCGATAGCACAGATTCCTCAAACTTGGCAAATTCTGGGCCACTGGAAAGGCAGCGCTAAAGTCGGCGTCACGTCGACTCGGTGCGAACCTGTCGCACCACAATATCTCCGCAAAGGGCGATTGGCGGACAACGCGACGCGAGTGCATCAGCAGTGTGCACAGGCGCTGCGCTCATGCGAGCAAGAGTGATCTGCACTCCCACAGCCGCCCAAACCGAGAGATCTACAGTCCGATAGCTATGTGGTGGAAATGGGGAGAAGGACTAGAGTCCAAGTTCACAGTGGGAACGCTAGGTAAAGACGCAAGACTTGCAGACGGCTTAAGCCTTCCTGGTGAAGCCATGTCAGTGGCCTCAAGCCACATACCGCCGACCGCTAAGGATGCATGGCTGAGAGAGGGCCGAAGAGATACACAAATATGCCCCGGCACCGTTGATAGACTAGTGCATCATTCACCATGCCTTTGACGTAGGTCCTGGCTCTCCGCCTTATAATGAGTATTTCCGTTTCGAGCACCGTATCTGTTTCTCCACGGAAGAAGCATAGGGCATTAACCCTATAGGCCTCTAAGTTGATGGGGTCGGAATATCGCGTCGCATCGGCGATGCATCGGCGATGCATCGGCGACGTCGGCGATGCATCGGCGCCGTCAGCGTGGAGAACATCGGGCTCCACATCGAGCCGCATCGTCGATGCATCGGCGATGCGGCGCGATCATCCGGCCCCACTTGCTATGACCCCATCTTAGAGACCTGGGTAATTGGGCTCATAATCTTGACTCGACCCAAGTTTTCTGTGGCCATGATTCGGCCATGCGCGCCTTCTCCAGGAGAACCCAGAATCGAGTCGATAAGTGGGATCAGCGATCGACATCGGAATCGGTGTCGAGTCGAGTCTGAGGCGTCGACCCTTGAGCAGGGACCGACCGTCCCGGCACTCCTATAGGCCTACCACGATATGTGCTTAGAACCCAACTGTTCCAACAACACCAAAACAAAGTTCTTAGATCATGAGCCCGAGATGTTTCAAAGCGGGACAGTCCCGGCCAGAAATGTTCTAGGACCATCCCGTGGAAACCACACGAGGCTCTCAGAACACTGTTCGGTAGGCCACTATAGGCACGCCAGGACGCCTCGCCACTGCTGGAAGGGTGGCCGTCGCCAGGCCCGGCGGCGGTGCAGAGGCGCCCCCCCTGCGGGCGGAGAGAGAGGCTTGTGGATGCCATGACAATGGACACTCCAACAACCCTATCCTTGAATTAAACATGTGCTTCAAATGTGTAAAGCATGTTCTAAACATGTTTCAAAGCTGTTTTTTTTCAAATGTTTAAGACATGCTTGAAACATGTTTTAGACATCTGGATATTATTTGGCAGCATGCTCCCTCTCCATGGATCCTCCTCCACAAAGAGAGAGGCGGCCGCGCTCCCGCGCCAGCGAGGCCCACGTGTACTGCTGGGGGCCCGCCGCCTGCGCTCGGCGCGGCGCGGCGCGGGGGCGCGGCGCGACCGCGGAGGGTTGTGGATGCCACGACTATGGGCACCCTGACAGTCCGATCATTGAATCTAAAATGTGTTTCAAATGTGTAAAGAATGTTCTAAACATGGTTTAAACATACTTTGCACATGTTTTCACCATGTCAACACATGTTTTAGACATCTGGAAACTGTTTGGCAACATGCTTCCTCTCCATTGATTGTCCTCCACAAGCAGAGAGGCAGGCCCGTCGGGGGAGACGGGGGGCGTACAGGCCCAGCCCGATCCGACGATTTATGGCTGTCACAGGCCCCAGCGCCTTCCCTCGACGACGGCCTCTGGGGCGAAGCGACGGGAAGCGGGGCACCGGAGGAGGAGGAGGAGGAGGAGGACGAGGAGGACGAGGAGGCGACGGAGGAGGAGGAGGAGGTACATCTCTTTGCGCGGAACAGGGGTGGGAAAGGGTCGGAGGGCGGGACCTCTCCTCCCAGGACAGCAGGCCATCCCCTGGGGAAGCCGCCTGAGCCGCGGACTGAGAAGTCATACCGGCGGGTGGCGGGGGGGTGGTGACTGGCTCGAGGAGGAGGGGACGGAGGAGGAGGAGGAGGAGGAGGAGGAGGAGGAGGAGGAGGAGGAGGAGGAGGATTGCGCTAGATTGTGCTACTTAGGACTCACGCAGATGGAAAACACCACGCAAGACGCCTTCGCCGTGCAATTCTGAACTTACAAGGGCTTCCCTGTTGACGGATGGCGGCCATCCCACAAACGCGTCCGTCGACCGTTGGCCGTCCGAGCTCGGGCGGGCTTGCAGCCCTCATTCACAAATTTCGTCCACTCACACTGAACGTAGGAAGAGCATCGCCTGCATGATACAAAAGTAGGGCGAAATTACTCCGACGGAAGGACCCCACATGATAATCTGTTTTGCGTGCCCTTCTCCCTTTCCTCCTGGCCATGGCAAACACCCTCCTCTCGCCCTCTCCTCTGCCCTCATTTCTCTCCTTCTTCTATTTCTCTCTTCCCCTTCCGTTTACCTCCCCCTTCCTCCTTCTCCACCTCCTCCTTATCATCGCCTTCCCCCATACCCTCCCCCTCCTCATCTTCCTCCTGCCGCTTCTCTACGTGCACCTGACCCTTCCCCTGGGCGGGGCAAACAAGTCGATGTTCCTCGGCGCCGTCGCCGCCTCGGCCAGCGCTGGACTGGCGCGTTCTCCGATGGCCGCGTCGCGCAGCCGTTGGGACAACCCCGCGGGCCAGGCTGTCGGGACAACCCCGCGAGCCGTTGGCGCGCAAGACCAAACCGTTGGGACAACCCCGCGGGCTTCGAGCGGGGCGCAGCCACGCTCAGGCGGGAGGCGGCACGAAGCCCAGCTTTGCCGCAAGCTGCTCCGCCTCCGCCCTGGACAAAACCGTTCTGCTGTCGAACTCCAGCAGCGCCTTCCGCAAGGACGCCGGCGGCCCTCGCTCCAGGAACTCCCGCGGCGGCGGCCGCAGGATCAGCACGTTCCGCATGCAACTGGCGCGGGAGAACATGACGTAGAGGTGCAACCACCACTGCTCATCCGACATGCCCGTGCGGCCACCGTCCTCGTCTCTCGCGCAGTCGATGGTGGCGGGCGCACAGATTGATTGTCCGAGCGCAATCGGTTGCGCGTCGGGCCCGCAGAGCTGCCCCCGCAAACGCTAGCCGACATGGCCCTCCCTTTCGAAGCGACCGCGCCTTTGTATACTGGGAATGGAGTTTTGGGAACGCGAATTCACCCGCAATTCACTGACAGACGAGGCTCCCGCCTGAGACCTCCTCCACATTCAGGCCTGAGGAGCCCAAAAATTGACGACAGGTACAGGATCCCGATGACAAACTCTGATTAATAACGTAATCTGCGGGCCCCATAGGGAGGGGGCTCCCGCCTGAGACTTCCTCGCAATTCACTCGGGGACGGGGTTCCTGCCTGAACCTTCCTCCATATTCAGGCCTCAGGAGCCCAAGAGTGACGACAGTTACAGGACCCCGATGACCCGCTCGGATTAGTAACGTGATCTGCGGGCCCCATAGGGCGGGGCTCCCGCCTGAGACTTCCTTCCAATTACTCACAAGCGAGGCCCCCGCCTAAGACTTCCTCCAGATTCAGGCCTCAGGAGCCCAAAAGTGACTACAGTTACACGACCCCGATGACCCGCTCGGATTAATAACGTAATCCGCGGGCCCCATAGGGAGGGCCCCCCGCCTGAGACTTCCTCGCAATTTAGTCACAGGCGAGGTCTCCGCTTATACTTCCTCCAAATTCACGCCTGAGAAGCCCAGGAGTGACGACAGTTACAGGATCCCGATGGCCCGCTCGGATTAATAACGTAATCCGCGGGCCCCATAGGGAGGAGCCCCTGCCTGAGACTTCCTCGCAATTTACTCACAGGCGAGGTCCCCGCCTCATACTTCCTCCAAATTCAAGCCTGAGGAGCCCAAACGTGACGACCGCTACAGGATCCCGATGACCCGCTCGGATTAGTAACGTAATCCGCGGGCCCCATAGGGAGGGGGTTCCCACCTGAGACTTCCTCATAATTCACTCACAGACGAAGCACAAGGCGAGTGAGTGAGTGACTGACTGACTGGCTGACTGGTGATGATGATGATCATCATCGCGCTCTCTCACGCGCGCACTCATCATCATCATCATCATCATCATCATCTGTGCGTGCTAGTGAGCCAGTGAATGAGTGAGTGTGTGAGTGAGTGAGCGTGCGAAGGATGATGAGCGAGTGAGTTAGGAATGAATGAATGAATGAATGAATGAATGAATGAATGAATGATGATGATGATGATGATGATGATGATGATGGTGGGCCCCTGTTCCTGCGCGGGGTGCCCAGAGAAAACAAGAGCCCCACTTTGGATGTGGGGAACAAAAGTGGTGTCCCAACCCCTGCGCCTTGAGGGCGAGGGCTTCTCGGGCGTCGAATTCGACAGATTCTGCGCCCGACGGCCCGCTCGGAGTCTGGATCGTGGCCCTGGGAATTCGACTGCCCCTGGGGCCCGCAATCGGGAAGGGGGAGGAGGCATCAGAGGAGGAACAGGGTTCGACTCGGCGGCCTGGCTCGGGGCTGGTCCACTGATGCTTCCGACATCGGTAGTCGCATCGACGACATCGGACAACATTGCGCCCAGCCTGACAGCAAATTCTACGGCATCAGCTATCATTACATGCTTCTGCTTCTAAGCCTGACGCTGCCACAAAGGATGTTCGAACCATGTTGCCCCCTTCTTCCCGTATTCGTCCGCGAAGCGGTTGCCTTTGAACAGTCTCTCGCCAATATCGCGCCGCTGGGCGCGAGTGGCGCGGGCCTTAATTTCAACTATCTGGATGGTCCTGGGGCCCAACCCTCCAAGATCGTTGACCAGAAACCAACACTCCTGCAAAAGATCGCTGTGGGCCCTGGCTGGGGACGAGCACCGCTCCTCCCCCTGGAAGTTCCGTCTGCGACAGCCTGGCAATCACAATCGATTTCGAGGGGTGGCATCGCACTCCTCAGCACCTGAAGGATGGCGTAGAGCTCAGCCGGGTAAAACCCCTGCCGACTCTGGGGCAGGGGGGGGGGGGGGGGGGGGGGGGGCGAAAGCGGAAAACTCTAGTTTTTTTCCCCCAGAGGCATCTAAGGTAGCGCAGCTCCACCCTGCACGCCGAAGGGGGACAAACTCACCGTACAAGAGAGATCCATCCGTGAAGACCTTGCCTGCAATGATTCCTGGATGTTCGCCCCCATGCCGAACCTCGTGCGAGACTGGCACAACATCCAAGAGTTCTACTGGATCATCCGAGATACCTCGGGCCCAGAGGAATACCTGGGAACGGGTTCGCTCCTCTCTGCTGCGCGTGCCCACCACCCACGCGCCTGGGCTGCTCGTCACGCGCGCTGCATACATACGTGCGGCGCAAGTCTGTACCTACAGCATTCTTGCACGCCTGGCACTGATCGGTCGTCGATCGACCAGCCTTAAATATTCTGTTGGGGCCACGTGCCTCCCGCGAACAAGGTTCCGACACGAATGCGATGATCAGCTGTCCACTTTTCTGTCAGGGGTCTGCGAAGTAGCATTCGTACCGGCTCCAGAAAGACCCGCTTAGAGACATTCACCTCGGGGCCCCATCGCGTAATCCAGCCATTCTGTAGTCCGGAGTGCGTGGCCTGGCGGAAGAGGGAGTGGACGTACTTTAAGTCTATATGTTACGAATCGTGCACCTCAGTCCCGCACGTGATGGTAGCTGGACTCTGGGTGCTCCATCCGAGGCGCATTACAGTGGCAATGAACGCGCCTGGGCCCCACGGCCTCAGATGCCCGTGGAGTCTCATGACCCGCGAGCGCCAGGCCGCCACCAGAAGGTCGTGCGCGGCCACGTCCGTCGCCTCCTGCCACGCCCTGGCCCACTCCACGGTGGGCCCCGCGTTGGCGAGCACGGCGGGGTCGGCGTCCTCCGCCAGCAGCACCGGCGCTGACGACCTCCCCCTGTTGCAGCCTGGGAAGGCCGCCGCCGCCGACTGCCTCAGCTTGGCGATCAGCGCGCCAGGGGCGCCCTGGACGCGCGTGCCGTGAAGCTCCGACGGCGCGATCCAGAGCTTGACCACCTTATCCGCTGCGCCTCCTGCTGCCTTGACCCGCTGGATCTTCCAGCCCCTGGCCTTGGCCTTCATGATCCGCTTGGACTGGGCTCCGACACGGCGCCGCCGCGCAGCTGACTGGATCACGCCCAAATGCAAGGCCTCTCTCACCACCTGGATGCCCATCTGCTTGCTCTGGCCGCCAAGCTGCCGCTCCATGCTGCCATGGGAGGCCGCGACTACAATGTTGCCGCCCTTGCCCCATCGAGACCTGCAGCTCGAGCACCTGCTCGAAGCCGAAAACGATGTCGTCGGTCAGCTTCGCGTGGATAGCCGCCACGGCGGCCGCGTCGCCTCGGGCGGGCGCCGCAAGGTTTACGAAGTAAAGGCGCATGTCTGC